TAAGCTACTTAAAAGCGCGATATAAAATTTAATAATAAGCTTTATTATAGCTTAGATATAATAATATTAATATACTAATTAATAAGTATTAAGCTATTATAAAAATCTTAAAATATTAAACGCGATTATACTTAGAAGATAAAATTATAAATCTTTATTAATATATAATTAATTTAATATATAATAATAAAAAATTTATTACGAAAGCTACGCTATCTAGATTAATATTTTAATTTTAATTATTACTCTTATTATTATATAAATAATATAAAGCTATCTCTTATTTAAGTATATCTAATTCTTAATTTTAATTATTATTATAAATATTATTAATTTATTCTAGAATTATTAAATATGCTTTTATATACTTTTTATATTTTACTCTTTTTTAATTAAATAGCGATTAAACTCTAAATTAAAATAAATACTTAGAAGAGAAAAGTTTATAAATACTTAATTATATAATTTTATTTCTTTTATACTTCTTATAATTATTAAAATAATTAATAATATATAATTATATTTTATAATTATATATATAATAATTAACTAATTTAATAGCTAAAAATAAATATACTCTTTTCTTTACTTTAAATAATTTAGCTAAAATAATCGCGAGATTTAGATTCTTTTTTTATAATATAACTCGCTTTCTATATATTATATAAAGATAAATATTTATTTAAATAGAGATTATTAGAGCTAATTATAAAGTGTAATAATAAAAGATTTACTCTTAAATTAACGAACTAGAAAGACTTCTATTATCTTATATAATATTTTAAAAATAAATCTTTAAATATAATAGCGCTTTAATAGATCTTAATTAAGTATAATCTAACGAATTAGATATTAAAAAAAAGCTTTAAGATTATAAAATTAATTAATTTTTAATAATAATAAATCTCGCGTAAAGTTTAAATTATAGTTTACGTTAGTTATATATAATAAGTATAATAATAATTAGAAAAATATATTATCTAATTTTTATTAACGCTTTAATACTATTAAAGTAAAGATAATATTTATTAAAGCGACAGCGATAGCGATTAAAGCGGTAATAATATTTAATAAAAACTTTATTTTAACGCTATATTTAGCACTCTAGAATAGTATTAGCTTTTTCGAAAAGCTATTAATAATAGATTAAGCGTATATAAGTTAAGCTCTTTACGCGATCTATCTATATATTAACTTAAAGTTATTAAAAGATAAAAAATAAATATATAACTTAATAACTACGTTATACTTTTAATATTATTATAATAATATTAAGTTATTTAAATAGAAGTCTAATATATAAAAAAGATAGTTTAATAATAAGAAGAGTTAATATATAAAAGAAAGTCTTAGAGAAAAAGAAGAAGAAAAGAAAAGCTTAGATATCTATCGCGTGTATTAAATTTTTAAATTACTTTATATTATTTAGCTTAAATTAAATATTAATAAAATATTTTCTCTTTAATTTTAAAGATTTAAATTTAAGCGAATTATATTTATTAAATATTATTATTTAATATAATCTTAGTTATTTCTATAATAATTATAATTATTATTATAATTTATATAGATTAAAAGATAAAAGATTTAAAAGAGCGAGTTAATAAGTAACTATTTTTATCTAATTTAATTAGCATTAAACTATTATAACTTATTAAAATTTTCATATATTTCGTTCTTACTTTCTTATTTTTAAGTCTTATTATTTTTATAGAAATAATTATTCTTTAAGTTAAACTCTATAATAATATATTTATAATAGCGTATAATATATATTCTCTTTATTTTTAATATCGATATTTACTAGAATTAACGCACTTTTTAATAAAACGAGCTTTAATTAAAATTAAGAATAGCTTAATATTCGTAGATATTCGTATAAGCCCTTTAATTCTTTTATATATATTTATTAATTTATCTTTTTATAGTAATTAAAGTAGAAGAGATTAAGTTTAATAATTTATTATAATAAATATTAAATATTAATAATAATAGTAATATTAAAGAGTCTCGACGTAGATTAATTAGATGGCGATTAAACTCTTAATTAAAATAAAAAGCGAAGAATAAGCTTAGTTAAAATAAAAATATTAAGAGATCGCAATAGCGAATAAATATATTTATATCTAAAAAGAAATTAATTAAAAAAGTAAAGAAAGTTAATATCTTAGCTATTAACTATATTATAATTATTAAAAAGTATAAAATTAAATATATTAATATATTATTATTATAATAGAAGTAAGCTTTTAAATAGATTAGATAAAATATAATAGATAAGCGATAAATAATTTTTAATTCTAATTATTATTCTAATAAACTTATATTTTAATAGTATTATATAAAGAAAATATATAAGCGTAATTACGAAGAAGTCTAAAGTTTCGCTTATCGCGCGAATTATTATATATATAAATAAAGATAAAAGCTCGAATTAGAAGAAAATAAATAATATTAAAACTAAATAAGATATAAGTATTAAAAATAATTTTACTATACGCGCTAATAATTAAATAAATCTTATTTTTTAAGCTATTTAAGAGCGTAATATAAAATTTAACGATAAGCGCTATTATAGCTTAGATATAATAATATTAACGCGCTAGTTAATAAGTATTAAACTATTATAAAAAATTTAAAATATTAAATATAATTACATTTAAAAGATAAAATTATAAATCTTTATTTATATATAATTAATCTAATATATAATAATAAAAAGTTTATTATAAAAGCTACGCTATTTAAATTAATATTTTAATTTTAATTATTATTATCGCTATTATATAAGTAATATAAAGTTATCTTTTATTTAAGTATATTTAATTCTTAATTTTAATTATTATTATAAGTATTATTAATTCGTTCTAGAATTATTAAATATATTTTTATATACTTTTTATATTTAATCTTTTTTTATATATCGTAAGAAGGTAGCTTAAAGAAATATAGCTTATTATATTAAGCTATAATACTTTTAAGAGAATATTAAGAGATATATTAACTTTTCTAAATTAGCGATTTAATAAGAAAGCTATAATTATAATACGTATAATTTTATACTAGATAGCGATATCGAAAATATATAATAGATATATAAAATTATCGTCGACGACTTTAATTATGAAGTATTAATAAATTTCGCGTAACTAATATTAGAGAAAGATAAGCTTTTCTTATTATTAATAGATATAGCTCGCTTTCTTTTATATATATAAAGCAATAAAATATAATTATATTTAATTCTATATCTTATTAATTTAGCGTAATTATTAATTAGAATAATAATTAGAATAACTACTTCTAAATATAGAAATCTTAATCGAGATATCTTATATATATATTATTTTATAATATAATATCACAGATATATTATATCGTGGGATATCCCGCTAAGATCTTATATTATATTAGATATAAAATTCTATAAATCTTAATAACTTATATTATTTTAGAGTATAATATAATAGATTAATATCTTATATTATATTATACCTTTCCGACTAGTAAATATAATACGCTATCTTTTTAAGACGATTTATAATTATAAGAATCGCGTTATAAAAGTAATCGCGTTAGTTTTTAAAAGACGATAGTCTAGTAATAAAGTTAAGAGAAATATCTTTTTACTTATAAGTTAGAGTTAATAAAAAAATTAACTTACTATATAGCTTATATCTAAATAATTTAATTATAGCGTATATAGAATATAATATAATATATATTTTTTATATTAGTAGTAAGTCTTAGCTAGAAGTACTTATATTAAAATAATATCTAAGTTTTTTTAATATCGAAGTAATTCGTTAGTAGATTATTATAATATCTTTTAAGAATTATATCTTATAAAGACTTAAGAATATAGATCTTTTTATTATAGTATAATTTTTTATTAAAGTAATTATAGAGTTAATCGCTAAGATTACTTAAAGAGTTATTTATATTAGATTTTAATTATATAAGTATTTTCTTTATATAATTATTCTTATAAGTTAGTTTTATAAACCTATTATCGAAGAATTAATTATTAATAAAGTCTCTTATAGAATCCTCGACTACGATAATAGTATAAATATATATCTATTATAAGTAAAGGCCTATAAATTAAATTTATAGAGTTGAATTTTTCTAAGTTAAATCGAATTTTAGTCTTAGCTCTAAGTTAAATCGAACTCTAATCGCTTACTATACGTTTTTAACCTATATATAAATATATATATACGAAGAGAGATACGCTAAGGTTTAATTAGAAAGATATATTAAGTATAAAGAATTAATTCGTAATAATTATCTATAAAAAATAGAGAAAGATTATATTCTTATAATAAGAAGTATCGAAATATCGAAAAGAAATAAAGATAACGTGTTAATTAGTGGTGTAAATTTCATAATATCTTCTATCGTAGTAAAATCTTTCGAATAATAAAATAGCTATAGACATCGAACGATTTCAATTCGTTTAAATATATATTATTCGATATTTCTTTTATAAAGACTTAATTAACTATAATAATAGATTCTACTCTTATAACGTTATTATAGTAATATATTATATTAATATAATAGAGATAATAAGTTAAGTTATAGTAATATTCTTCGCTTACTAAGTAATAATTTAATATGAAATCGTAGAGAGTATATAACGTGGGATCTTGAAGAGCTAAGCCGTATTCTTAACGATAATAATCTTATTACCGCTTAATTTCTCCGTAATATTCTTCTACTGGCCGGAAAGATATAATATAATATGGAATATTAACCTATTATATCATACTCTAATATAATATAAGTTATTGAGATTTGCATAATCCCATACCTAGTATGATATGGGATCTTGACGGAATATATCACGGTATGATATATCTATAGTATTATACCATGGAATGGTATATGTATGGAATATCCCGTTGAGATTTCTATATTTAGAAGTATAAAGTAGCTATTCTAATCATCATTCTAGTCAACGGCTAATCGTATCTACCCCCATTCGATATACTACCATGGCTGGCACTACCATGGCTGGCACTACCATGGCTGGCACTACCATGGCTGGCACTACCATGTCTACCACTACCATGGCTGGCACTACCATGGCTGGCACTACCATGTCTACCACTACCATGGCTGCTACTATCATGGCTGCCACTACCATGACTATCACTCACTATCATGACTATCACTACCATAGCTACTGTCGAAATGTGGCCCCCGCGCATCCCAGCCACCGTGTTCTTCAGCCACCTGATTTTGTACTGTATTTAGGACCTGGCCCCGGAGAGGTTTTGGAGAATCAATCCGTCCGTTCTACACATCACATACCTGATATTTTAACAGCTACCACTACCATGGCTATCACTATTTATTATTCAAATAGCCTACTATCATATGGTAGCTATGATAGTGCCAGTCATGATAGTGCCAGCCATGGTAGTGCCAGCCATGGTAGTGCCAGAATGATGACTAGAATAGCTACTTATACTTCTAAATATAGAAATCCCAACGGGATATCCCATACATATACCATTCCATGGTATGATACCACAGATATACCATACCGTGGTATATCCCGCCAAGATCCCGAACCCATACCAGAAAAATGGAATGGTATCCGACCCTATCCATATCATACCCGGATACGGTATGGTATCACTTAGTATGGAATATCCTATGGGATATACCATACCTTTCCGGCCAGTATATTCTCCGCATTTATCTATTATAGTTTCTTCTCTTACTTCTTAATATAGTAGAGATAATAAGCTAAGTTATAGTAGTATTCTTCGCTTACTAAGTAATAATTTAATATAAAATAATTAAGTTATAGTAGTATTCTTCGCTTACTAAGTAATAATTTAATATAAAATTATAGAGAATATATAATATAGGATCTTAAAGAGTTAAGCCGTGTTCTTAACGATAATAATCTTATTACTACTTAGTTTCTTCGTAATATTCTTCGTATTTATCTATTATAATTTCTTCTCTTACTTCTTAATATAATAAGAATAATAGACTAAATTATAATAATATTCTTCGCTTACTAAGTAATAATTTAATATAAAATCGTAGAGAGTATATAACGTGGGATCTTAGAGAGCTAAGTTTATTCTTAATACTAAAAGTCTTATTACCGCTTAATTTCTCCGTAATATTCTCTATAGTATTCTTCGTAGTATTCTTCACATTTATCTATTATAGTTTCTTCTCTTACTTCTTAATATAGTAAAGATAATAAACTAAGTTATAGTAATATTCTTTACTTATTAAGTAATAATTTAATATAGAATCGTAGAGAGTATATAACGTGGGATCTTAAAGAGCTAAGTCTATTCTTAATGCTAGAGATCTTATTATCGCTTAATTTCTTTATAATATTCTCTATATTCGCTTACTATAGTAATTTCTCTTATACTAGCTAAATAGATTAATATAAGATCGTAAAGAGTAAGTCTATTATATTACTACTATTAATAACTATCTTTATAATATTCTTCGTAGTATTCTTTATATTCGTCTTAAAACTAATTTTATTAATAGCGAAGATTGCGAAATATAGTAAAAAATTAATTAAGTTTCTTATTAACTTAATAGCGTAGTTAATTACTAATTAAAAAAAATTATAAATTTAATTTATAGACCTTTACTCGTTATAGAAATATTAAATTAATTAGAATATTTTAAAAGCGATTAATTAGAAAGTTCTCGAAGTAATAAATTAAAAGATTTTATTATAATTAATTAGAAAGTTTTAAAAGTAATTAATTAATAAATTTAAATAGTAATTAGCTAAGTATTTTAAATAGTAACTTATTAATAAATTTAACTATATTAAAAAAATATAAACTTTATTATAAAAGAAATTTAAGATTAAAAACTTTAAATATATAATATAAAATAATATATAATAACTTTATAATCTAGCGATAAGTTTTATAATATATTTATATAATTTTATTAATTTTAATATATAAGTAAATAATATAATTAGAAGAAAAAGAAATAAATATTATAATTCTAAATATTATAATAAGAAAGAATTTAAATATACTTTTCTCTTTTTTAATTATTACTTTAATTATCTAACTTTCTTTATTAAATAAAATTATTAATATATTATTAATAAAAATAAATAGTAAATATATTAATATATATAATAGAATAAGATAGAGCTAAGCTTAAGAATCTTAAATTTATATATATAGTATAAGAATATAGTTTACTAGCGGTTAGCTAGCGGATATAGACTATAAAAGATATAGAGTCGTTATAGAGTTTAATAGTATATTTGATAATAGAATTAATCTTTAAGAAATATTAAAACTTCGAGGTATACGAAGTAGATCTATGTCCGCTAAGCCCCTAGATATACGAGATATATTATTAAAATTAGACTCTAAAAGAAACTCTAATATAATATATATAATATCGATATCTTAGTATAAATAGTATAAAGGTCTATAACGTATTAAATTTAATAATTATCTTTTCTTCTAAATCTTAATTTCTAGGCGCTTAAGTAAAAATAAAATACTTATTAAAAAATCTTTAAACTCTAATAGAGAAATAAGAGAAAAGAGTTAATCTATTAAGATTATAATATCGTTTTAATAATATAATAGAATTAACTCTTATACGTTATAGACGCGTTATTAATATATTATATAATAATATTAATACTATCTTCGAGAATAATATTACTTTTATAATATTAATTAATAATAATTTATAGTAAATTAATATACTTAATATTAGCGTTTTTATAACGCTAGTTAATAGCCCTTATAGCGAATAATATTAGATTTAAAAATTTATAATAAAATCTTAAAAACTTAATAGATAAAAGAAGAGAAAAGAGTTTTCTTATAAATAACGTTATTTTTATAGCGTATTACGTCTATAGCGAAGTAATATAATAATAATCTTTATTATAAGAATTCGAAGAAAGTAATTAATAGAGCGACGTATTCGCGATAATATCTTCGATTATTAATTAATAATAGTAGAAATAATACGATAGTTAGGCGACGCGGCCTTAAAGATAATAGTAAAATATTATCGCGTTATTACTATCTACGTTACTAGATACTATTCGCTAATAATAGCGCTACGATAAAGAATATAAAAATCTCTTTCGAATTATTTATTTTTATTCTTTATAACTTCTAATATCTCTTTTATAAATATTTACTTTAGCGCTATAACGTTAATATTAATACTAATATAAGTATAATATATCTTATTATATTAATAGTCTACTTCTCTTTATTATAAGTATCTTATTATTATTAATCGCGTTAATATATAAGCTAATAATTTTATAGTACTCTTTTTTAATAATAATAATAACTTTAATAGTAAATATATAATCGTCTTATAAGCGCGATTATTAACCCTTAACTATTTTTGCTATTATCGCTTTATATATATATCTATTAATAAGTTCTAATATCTAATTTATTATATAAAACTTATTTTTATCGAGGCGATAATTTATATATTTAAGATAAGTCTTCTCTCTATAATAACTATAAAGCCGAAAGACGCGATATTAATCGCTATATTAAAATTCCTCTATACCTTTAGATATAGATAAGAAAATTAATATAACGCTATCGTCGCGTTAAATAATCTTAAAAGTTATTTTATTAACGGGCTAAGCTTAATAAGAAGATTACTTAATAGTATAAGTTATAGAAATATACGATAGTAATAACTTCGATTATCTTTATTATAATTATAGATCTCTAAGGCTAGCTTATAGCGGTATATAAGCGTATAAAGAAATTAAAGAGAATAAATAAGTTACTAGAGAAGAAGCTTAAGAGCCTTTATCGATATATAATAAACGTCGATAAGTATTAACGCGAAGACTATACTTTAACTATCTTCTTATTAGAGAATTAGATTAATAGACTTAACTCGAAATTTAACGCTAAAATAATAGAGAATATTTAAATAGTAATCTTTTTTTAGTAATAGCGTTAATATAAGATTTTTAGATAGTTTTTTAATAGCTATTCTAGATAAAAATACGTTTATATTAATAGTATATATTTTAATATAATAAATTCTCTTTATAGTAGAGTTTAGTAGATAGTTAAATAATATAATTATTTTTTTAATCTATATTTTAATAGTAGTAAGTATAGAGGAGTACGCGCGTAGTATAAGTATTATCTAGAAATATATCTAATCTAGTTAATAGTTATATCTTATTTTATTATCTTTATTTACTCGTTATTAATTTATATAATTAATCGAGCTCTTTAATAATAAGAGATTTATTATTTATTATTTAGTACTTTCGCTTATTATCTATTTATTTATAAATTTAAATTAGCTTATTAATATTAATAAATTTATTATCTAATAGTTATTAATTATACTCTTCGCTCTAATTAATTTATTTAACTTTATATTAAATATTTTTCTTATATTTAATCTTATTAATAATTTCTTTAATCTTTTAAAATTTATCGTTATTAATAAGATCGAGAATTTATATAAAGACTATTAGAAGTAATAATCTAATTAATGTAATATAACTTAATTAATTATATTAATAAAGAAACTACTTTCTAAGTAAGTAATTTCTTATTAAGTCTTACTTGACGAAAGGCCTTTCTTAGCAATCTCTAATAAGATATCGATAATAAAAAATGAAAGTAATATTCTCGTTGATAAGTAAGGTAGAAGAAGAAAAGATTACTTAAATAAGTAAGATATAGCTTTCAAAATAGATAAGATAGAAATTTCTAGAAATCGGGTTTCTCGCGAGAAAAGCTCTTATTTAGATATTCGCGATCCGCTTACTTCTACATAATATTACTTTCTTAGAAAACTACTTTCTTAACGAGAGAAACTAATTTTCTAACCGAAATTTTTACTCTTATTAATCTCTATTCCGACCGAAGATCTAACGTTTTTAAATAAGATCTCGAAGTTTCTTTCGATAATAGACGAGAACTTAAAGAAATAGCTTTCCCGTCGCGATTCGATATTTCTAAATAAGATCTTAAAGTTTTTTTTAGGAGTCGAGTCGTCGATTTTAGCGGCGTGAAATTTGATGCTTCCTCGATACTTCTAAAAGCTTCTTTTAGAAGTTAAGATATTATCGTTTCTTACGACGGGGAATATAGTGCTTTCTCGATACTTCTAGAAGGTTTTAAAGCTTCTTTTAGAAGTTGAGTTATCGTTTCTTACGGCGTAGAATACGATACTTCCTCGATTTCACGAACATCGATATACTTATTCTTATAGTTCTAAATTAATTTCTAAATATTATTAAGATTCTTTATATTTATCTACTTATTATACTATAACCTATATTCTTTTTATTTAATAAGATATTTTATAATAAAATCTCTCTCTTTAGCGATAACGCGCTTATTTAGAAGTTAATCGAGTTTCTAGAATTTAAAAATCTCGATATTATCTTTAACGAAGATAGAAGATAACTCGTTAAGATGAGACTATAATCGAGTATATAAATCGATTTAGAAATTCGAATATATCTTTAATTATATTATAATAAAAATCGAATATACTCTTTAATTATTAGAAATATCTAATCGATAGATAAGACGCTCGACTTATTCGAGAACTTTAAAGAAATTAATAAATTATAAATTATATTTTCTTTTAATAAATTAAG